AAACAAAAGAGATCATGTTCAAAACAAAGGAATCAAAAGATACTACTTAATGGTGCTAGTCAAGGGGAATTGAACTTCAGTGTTCAAAGATTATCAGTGCAAGTCACTGACCAAGATCTAGTTCCAATTGCCTGGACATCTGTAGCCTCAGGGCACGTGCATAGAGGTAACATGAACACAGCTTCTAGGCCAATGTGTTCCTCAGTCCAGCAGCTCTTCCTTCAGTGTTCTGGCTTCCTGCCCTTGGTTCTGCTGTTTTCTGTCTGCTTCTGAGTGTATTCTTGTCTTGCTCCCAGAAACTGATGACCTGCTCATCAGGCTTGGGACAGAGCCTGGCTCTTGGTGAGCACTTTGTACATTAGCTAGTGTTTTTATTCTTCCTGACACCATTTTCCAGGCTTTAGCAAGACATCTTAAGTTCAACTGCCAAATCTTTATCACCATCCCTTGTCATTCAAGTCATGTCCTGTGAGACCCGGGGCTGCTGTCCCTGTAACTTCTCTCCTGAGTCTCCTAACCATCCCCACCAACAACCCGAGTCACCAGACACAACCCAGCTTCTCCTTGTCACTTCCCTAGAGCTGCGGTCCCCTGGCTCAGCATTGCCAAATATTATCAGGGGAACTTAAGACACCAGTCCTTTCAGAAGATAAGGGCCATTTCAACTCCGCCTCTCCTCACCATTCTTTGGCCACCCACTCTAAAGGGTGAGTGTCCCTGCCCAAGTCGTTCCTGGGCTGAGTACTAGGAATGGGCCATTCTGAGAGGCAGTATTTTTAGAAATGGCCTTGGCTTGCTCAGGTGACCTCACTGAGACACTTCCAGGCCAGAGGCTGGGTCTAGGCATTTCTAGCTTTTACAAATGGCTGGATCAGTACTAGTGACTGGAGAGCTCGGGTCAAAGCTCAAGCAGCTGTGAAGACCAGTGCCAATAGTGAGCACTTTGTCATCAAACCCAGAGAAGTCTAAGGGGTTTTCTGGGGGAAGGCATCAAGCACTCTAAGAAGAAGGGATTGTCCCTTAGTAAAAATCATGCAGGTTTTTAAAGGCCTTCTTGAACACACATAAACCTGAGATTGTCTATTCTGTGCTGGCCTAAATGAAACCCATGCTCCCAGGGTTACTGGTGTCACAGAATGAGGAGGACTAATTGTTGGGGAGACAAGCTATAGGGTGTTCAGGGAAAGCAACCCTCTGGACCCCAGGCCTGGAACCATCTGGAAGAATTTTGTATCCAAGTTAGCAGGACATTTTTCACAGCATGTGGTGTGTTGCAAAAGTGGCTTTTGAGAGCTGCGTTCAGGACTGAATCCACAAGTAACAGAAAAGCGCCTATAATTCTTTCCTGCCTCCCCTCCTGCCATTGCGGAGGATCAGCCTAGAAAATCTAGTTATTTCTAGAGCTTTCTTAGATTCTAGAGGGAAATTGTTGAAGCTGTAGAGTTCCCTGAACAATGTTAGGTGCTATCATTATGAAAATGTGTCAGTCAGGCATCGTGGTCCAGGCACTTAATCCCAGGATTCCAGCAACAAGAGACCTCTATGAGTTCCAGGCCAGCCTGGTCTACATAGAGAGTGCTCTATGTAGGAAACACAGACTATCTGAAACAGGGTATGCTTCTTTTCTTAGTCTGTAGGGTCCTGTAGATGTCTTTGGCAGAAGTCACCATTCCAACTTCATCCCCATTCTGTTCTAGTCAGGCTGTCAACCCTAGGATGTCTGCACAGTACAAAACCTTTGTCATGGGTCCTGGGCTCATTTTACAGAGATGCTTATGGCAGGTCTCAGCTATCAGACTGGATGTTCTTCAGGGGCATCTCAAACTGTCTCATCCTCAATCCCCAGCAAATTGTACCTATGTAGCTGATGTACCAAAAAAAAAAAAAAAAAAAAAAAAAAAAAAGGTGTGAGAAAGGGGTGATCCTGTGTATACCTGGTTAGCCAAGGCTTGCAGGACTTACTAAACTTTATTAATCCAATTTGGAAAAATATGGTGTCAAGAAAGTGCATGCCTAGAATCCCACTGTGGAGGTTGAGACAGGGAGATTCCAAGTTTGAACAGATAAGCCTTGGCAATTTAGCCAATCCCTGTATCAAAATAAAAAGCTAAGTGTGATGCCATATACCTATAAACCCAGCATTTAGGAGGTTGAAGCAGGAGGATGGCAAATCCAAAGCCAGGCAGGGGGTGGGGGAATGGGGCTGAGGGGATGTCTCAATAATTAAAGTACTTGTTGCACAAACATGGGGAATTGAGTTTGCATCCTTGGCACCCATACTAAAAATAAAAAAGTCAGACAGAGTGGTACACGCCTTTGACCCCAGCACTCAGGAGGCAGAGGCAGGAGGATCTCTGTGAGTTTGAGGGCAGCCCTGTCTACAGAGCGAGTTCCAGGACAGGCTCCAAAGCTACACAAAGAAATCCTGTCTGGAAAAACCAAAATAAAGCAATCAATAAAAATAAATAAATAAATCGGGGGAGATGGGAGGACACACTTGTAATCCCAGGACTTGAGTACTTTCGAGGCTGTGACAGGAGGATCCTGGGAGGTGGCTGACAAACCAGTTAGCTGAATTAGGGAGCTCCAGCTTCAATCCCAAAGATAAAGTGGAGAGCTATCAAAGAAGATACCTGTTCACCTCTGGCCTTCAGATGCATGAATACATCTACTCATGTTCAACTGCGTGCGTCACACAGACACACACACACACACACACACACACACACACACACACACACACACAATTTTTTAATATAAAAGGGACAGGAAAGACAGCTTATTAACCAAGTGCTTGCACTTGTCTGGCATCTGTGAAGCCCTGAGTTCAGCCTACAGCAATACACACACAGTCACAACCTCAAGCAAAATGGATTTTTTGTTTTTTGTTTTGTCTTGTTTGAAATTGTTTTTTCTCTGCATAGTCCTGACTGTCCTGAAACTAGCTCTGTAACCAGGCTGGCCTTGAACTCACAGAGATCCACCAGTCTCTGCTGGGGTTAAAGGTGTGCACCATCACCAAAGGCTCAAGCAAAATGTTTTATGGCCTGGACTTAAACATCCTCATAAACCCCTGTGGTAGAACCAAGTGTGAGCAGTTATGAACACTGATTCTCCCTAACACTTAAGAGCTACACAGATGAGAGAAGGGAGCGTGTGTGCCTGCCTGTGTGACTTGCTCATCATAAATCGTGGGAGGCAGTAGTGGGCCTGCAGGCAAGTGAGCTAGAGGCTGGAGTCCTTCAGCACTTAGTAGCTGGGAGTGGCACCCAGCAGGAGAGAGTTAAGCTGTGGCAGGCCAAGTGGTTTATGTCTATAACCCCAGCATGGGGAAAGCTGAGGTAGGATAGCTACAAATTTGAGGCCAGCCTGGGCTAAAGAAACAGTCTTTTTATTTTGTTTGTTCGAGACAGGGTTTCTCTGTGGCTTTGGAGGCTGTCCTGGAACTCACAGAGATCCGACTGCCTCTGCCTCCTCCTGAGTGCTGGGACTAAAGGCTTGCGCCACCACTGCCTGGCTAGAAACAGTCTTAAAACAAACAGAAACAACTCCCACCCCCAGGCAAAAAAATGTTAGGCCCGATGGCCGGAACCTGTAATACCAACATTGGGGTGCAGAGGCAGAAATATAATATTCAAGGTAAGCCTGGAATGAATACAGAGATCCTGCCTCAAAAAGGAGAATCAAAAGGGTGAGACAGGGTACAAGCCCAGTGTGGACCCTGCCCAGACAATATGGGGCTGAGAAGACAGGGACTGTCAAGAATTTCAGTCTGATCCTTTTGACTCACAAGCTTTTTTTTTTGGTTTTGTTTTTTGAGACAGGGTTTCTCTGTGTAACAGTCCTGGAACCCAACTCTGTAGATCAGACTGGCCTCAAGGTGACAGAAATCTGCCTGCCACTGCCTCCTGAGTGCTGGGATTAAAGGTATTAGCTACCCAGTTTGGCTCTCCCAAGCTATTTTACAACTGCCAAGTGCAATAAATAGTACAGGTCTTTAATCCTAGCACCCAGCACCTGTGAGCTCAAGGCACCAGCCTGGTCTACACAGTGAGCTACAGAGAGCCAGGGATACTTAGACCCTGTTTAAAAAAATAAATCTTGTTTTTCTTTCTGTAGACTATAGCTCAAGGCTGGGCAGTCTCAAAGAGAAAAACAGGCTATATACACTCCGATTCTTAGAAAAAGATCACAAGAAAAAAAATCTCAGGTCGGGACCTGGAGAGATGGCTCAGAGGTTAAGAGCACTGGCTGCTCCTCCAGAGGTTTTGAGTTCAATTCCCAGCAACCACATGATGGCTCACAACCATCTGTAATGAGATTTGATGGCCTCTTCTGGCATGCAGACACATGTAGGCAGAATACTATATTCATAATAAATAATCTTTAAAAAAAAAGAAAAAAGAAAAAGAAAACCTCAGGTCTCTCCCTCTTACCAGTATCCTCCTTGCCGCTAAGCCCAAAGAGCATTCTTACTACATGATTGACAGGAAAGCCCATGGAGCAGCTTCTCAAATCCCAGAAAAGGGGCAATGATGGTCCCAGGTAATAAGGGCATTTGCCACCAACCCAGACCACCCAAGTTTGATATCCAGGACCCAAATAGTAGTTATCACCGAATTTCCATAGGCTTTTCCAATCCATGTGTGAACCCTCCACACATACTGACTAAATAAATGTAAAATAAAAACACCTAAATAGCTCGGTGAAGGGTGCATGATTTTAATGCCAGCACTCAGGAAGTAGAGAGAGAGGAGCTCTGTGTGAGTTTGAGGCAAGCCAGATCAACACACACTGAGTTTTAGGTCAGTGAGAACCTGCCTCAAAATGTGTGTAAAATAAAAATAAAGCCACAGGCACTCAAGCACAATGCTCTAAGAGTTCAACTAAGCATGTCTATGGCCCCAGTCCTAATGACCCCAAATATACACTTCGCTTTTGAGGGTGCACCCCATATGGCCTTTCTTCCCTTCCACATCCAATCAAAAATCCAGATCATGTTCCAAAACAAAAACCAAATTTATTCAGCAGACATTTTAATTGAAATCCTATAAATCAGGACCACCACAATTTCAGACACTCCGTTGCGAAGTGTACGTCAATAGCTACATCTGGAGGATGAACAAGCCATTGAATCTTTAAAAAAAATGGTTTAGCTACCATAAAGTTCGGGGGTGGCACCTCAAAGGGCACCGTCAAGTTTCACAAGGGTTTTAAAAGCCTGCAGTTTCTCCTCCTGGAGTCACGTTTTAAAAACGGTTCCACTCACTCACAAAGAACCAGCAGGTGAGGGAACAGGAGAGGGCCCCTCAGATTCAGCAGAGGGTCAAAACCGGGCAGAAAAGTGTGTCCAAGGCTTCCACCCAACCCCACACACCACAAACAACGGTGGCTGCAGAGGGCGGGGGGTTGTTTATGGCTACTTCTGAGAAAAGGTTGGTGACATGGCCAAGAGTGGTCTAGCAGGAGTTCTGGAAACAGAAAAGCACGAAAAGTGCAAATAACTCTCCCTTCAAGGCCCTATCGGCCTGCGTGTCCTCAGGAGACTCCAAGCGGTGGCAAAGCAGACAGGTCTGCACTTGGATCAAGAAAAAGATTCTTTAAAAAAAGACACTGCGGTTAGCTCTCCCAAGAATCCCACAACACCCCACTAACAAGCAACCTGACCTTGAGTCAAAGTTGGCAAGGTCAAGTCATTTACAAATACACATTTAAACTCAACTCTCCCCACTCGGAGAATTCACCAACTGGGTCCCCCTTCGCTGTCACATATTAAGTAGGAGAAAGCGGGTGTCGCCATGACACTCAACTGCCAAGTTTTAACATTCTTCACCCCAGAACCTCTTCGATCTGCAATTGTAGCACCATATTCAGGAAGCTTCTCCACGCGAAAATAACGACACCGTGTATGCCTACTATTCGTTTTCAAGTTATTGTTAGAAAGCCCTCCCGATTCCCGCCCCTGCGAGCCACATCTATAAACAATCCAAAATAAACGACGTCCCCACAAGGGCTAAGTCAGGTCCAAGTCGATCAAGTAGCTGCCACAGTTCTCCCAGTAAATCCCAGACCTCGGCTGCCGGTGCTGCTCAGTCGAGTCCGTTTTCTCTTAACAGCCCTGCGCGACCGGTAACTTTGGGGCTATGACGGACGAGGCTTCAGCTCCGTACTGTCTGAGCCGGACACTGCTGGGTCGGTGTAGCTGCGTCCTCTTCTTCCCCCGGGACCCCGAGTCAGAGCCAGGCACCCGAGGGCTGCAGGGTGACTGAGTCCGTTCCGCCTCGGCTACCCAAGGACCCCGGGGCACTTGCGGGGCTCGTGGCTGCGACCGCCGCAACTGCTCGCTGGAGCCTGCGCACCGCCTCTTTGATGAGGTTTCCCGAGAGCACGAGCTGCTGCAGGAGCCGGTGCGGATCGTCGTCGCCCGCGCGCGCTCCACCTGGGGCCCATCGCCGCTGCTGGATTCGCCGAGATGCCACCGCACCCGGGAACCACCCCCGCCGCCCTGGCCCGGGCAGCGTGCTGGCGCCCGAGGAGAGCTCCGCCACGCAGTAGGGAGCCGCCCGGCCCCGCACGCGCCCGCGCTCTCCCAGCACGCAGCGCACGGCTCCCGGGGGCGCCGGGTCCCCGGCCTCCGCAGGCGCGGCCGGCCGCAGCAGACGCCTCGCCGGGGCCCGGGCCTTGTCCGCCGGCAGCGCCGCCACGACCCGCGGGGGAGGGGGCCCCGGGGCAGCACACGGCGAGGCCGGGCCGTCGTGCGCCGCGTCCAGCTGCAGCGTCTCGCCGATCTGGGCGATGAGCCGGTCCACGTCGGCCGAGCCGCCCAGGGTCACCGACTGCTGCAGCAGGAGGAAGCTGTCGTCGTCGTCCTCCCCCTCCGCCTCGTCGCCGGCTTCCTCCTCCTCCTCCCTCCGGCACGGCATGGCCCCCCGCCCGGGCCCCTGCGGCTGTGCGGGCGTCGCTGGCGGCTCGGTTGCCCGCGGGCTCGGCGGGCCGCGGCTGGGGAGGGAGAGGGAGCGGGGCGGAGGCCGGGGCCGGGGCCGGGCCTGAGACGCGGAAGCCGGGGGCCACCGGGCAGTGGCACCGCGCGCCTTCCAGCCGCGGGAGCCGGAACGCTGCCGGCTCGGGTTGATTTGTAAACAATGGGTGACGTCGCGCGGCTCCTACCACTGCGCGCGGCCGGTAGGGGAGGGACGTCCGCGAGAAGACATCGGGGCACCGGACGGTGCGCAGCGTGCGTGATCGCGGCCCGCGGCCCCCGCCCGATGCTACCGTATCCGTCTGTGAGCAACCCCAGAGGTGGGCATCGCTTTTGTCAAGCCCAGGTCCCACTAGCGGTCGGAGAAGAGGCACACTCGAAGACTGCCAGTTGGCTTCTCCCACTCGCAGACACACCCCCACACACCCGCCCCTCCCCCGCCGCGCCCGCTCCCTCCCCACGTGTCGGCAACGCCTGCGCTGGCCGGGCTCCACTCTGCGCACCCGCATTGGCCCGCGCGGCCCCGGGGGAGGGGCGGCCCCAGGGGAGGGGCGACCCTGACGGTGGGGGTGGGGGTGGGGGGGAAGGAGGAACCGACGCTTCTGGGGCGCATATCCTGTGGTCGGAGTATCCCAGACTTCCTCCCCTCCAGGCCACTTCTCTGAGCCACAGGGTGGCTAGAGTTGACTTTTAATGTAGCTCAAAAGCTACAGTTGACTTTTTTTGTAGTTGAAATTTTCTCGTAACCATAGGACTCAAACAGGATTAGAAGATTTTCTTTACTTTTCAGCCTTTTCTCTGTACTTTATACAAACAGCCACGCACGAAAACATTACACTTTGTTACACATTAAATTATAAACGCTTTTCCAGTGATTGCACGCGCTTTGAAAACATTGTAATGATTACGTAAGTTTCCATTGAGTGCTTGTAATTGTTTAAATTCCTTAAGCCATTCTTGCCATCTGTGCCCACCCCACATTTTACAGTTGTGTGTGACTAATGATTTTTCCCATCAAATTTTCCCAAACCTATGGTTTATTTTTCAGATCACTACATCCCTAAGTGTGTAGTTTTATGCCAAAGGGTAAGAGTATTTTTTAAGTTTGGCCTTTTAGTATTGTTATTATTGTAAATGTAGGGAATCGCCTAGAATTTGGTAAATATAATATTAATTCATTAAAACCACTAGATTATAGTATTATTGAAAACCTTATTTTGTGCGTGTTCCTATTTTACAGGTGAAATTGACATTTTTCAATTTGCCTGTGGTTTTTAGTTTTATCTTCTGTTTTTGTTTGTTTGATTTTTGAGGCATTTTCTAATTTGTTAAGAAGACTTATTTGCCTTTTTTGTAAATCATTTCCTAATAAGCTCCTCCTACTAAGGGGTTTTTATATATTTTTGTGACTTACTGGCATATCAGACGTTGTTAACCTTTTCTCATATTTTACCACAAACATTTTTTTTTCTGGGCTTTGTGTGGCCATCCCCACTGCACACACCCCCAGTAAAGCAATTTTTTAAATTGTTGTTTTTGTTTTTGTCAGGGTTTCTCTCTGTAGTCCTGGCTCTGCCTCCCAAATGCTGGGATTAAATGAAGTTTTGCACCACCTGCCTTCCTTTGAGACCTCTAACATAGAGATAGGTCTAGTCTCCCTGCCTCCAAAAGGTTATCAAAGAGCTCCATTTCTCCCCTAATGCCTTGTTGCTTTTATTTGTAGTTTTTTGTTTGTTTCTTTAATCCATTTGGAGTATTTGGGTCAGGGAAATGAGATGAAATTAATTTCTTCCTCTCTCTTCCTCTTCATCGGGGCTATATCTCCTGGCTGACATAGAGGACCGCCAGTTGGCTTCCTCTATGAATTGGATCCTCAGTGGATTGGGCGCACACAGAGCCTCTATCCTGAGTTCCCAGATGCTGGGAACTGGTGGCTGTGAGGAATGGGTGGGGCTGGGAATAGTCTGATCAGTCTCGTGGGAGTCAAAAGGGCTTTAAACAGGTAGTACAAAGACCTAGATTCAAGTCTCAGTCCTGCTATAAGCTGGGTGTGGGACTCCCCACAAATCAGTTTACAAGTGTTTTCCCTTGTAAAATGGAAAAAAATAATCCCTACCCTACTCCTTTGGAGATTGTTTTCAGGATCAAGTGAGATGATTCGAGCAGGCTTTGTCAAGCATTACGCAAATGCACTGTGGGATTAGGTCCAGTGGTTTACTGACAGCCTCTGGGCTCTCTTCCAGCAATTCCCTGGGGAAAGAGCTAATATCTCAGTAATAAAGGGTATCCCCTATGCCCATAAGTGAAGTAGACCCTGAAGGCCATACTTCCTAGGACTGGGCTGTCCCTTAGAATTCTGCCTCCTGTCGACTTTGCCCTGGGATTGTTTAGGGCCATCCTGAAAGTACCCAAGGTCTCCCAAATATCAAGGTGTGCCATAACTACAGCTAGTTCTGCGGGTTTGGGTGAGGGCACCTTTCCCAGGAGGCAGCTCCCTCCTCCATCTCTTCACACACTTTACTGCCAAAGACAGGAAGACATTCTCCCCGGAGAGCAAGTCTCATTTTCATTGTGGTGGTACTTACTGGAGAACTTCAAGGAGAATGAAAATTAGGAGAGGGCTTATGGATTTCAGCAGAGTTAAAACGGCAATTTCCCTCCCTCCACTCTGTAAGATGATGCCCGGCTGTAAGCAGAGAAAAGCAGTTTTATGCTCCATTGACTTTAAACATTAATGGGTCTGGCAAAGCTATTGTTTCTAACCCAGCATCCCTGGAAGTTGTTTTGTCTTCCTGTCAGAGTAATTCCAATAGTGTTCTTACTACTGTAGGAAATGGAACTGTGAGACAGCATTAAAAAAGAAAGGAAGAGAGGAAAAAAAAAAGCGTCCTTCCCTTTCTAATGTTGCTTTTGTGCGCAGATTTCTATGTAAATATGCTGGGATGTGGACATTAGACTGTTCATTACAGAGATGAATGCCTTTGCAGGAGCCCTGCTCCATTTTCCCGGGGCACCTCTCGGGAGACCTCAGAAAAAGATGTGCTGTGCTGGGCCAGTGGGAGGTGGAGAGCAGTGCCCTGGATAAGGAAGCGGAATACAAGACGTGAGAGTGGCCCAGATGCAATTAAAAGTAATGAGAGGGTATCAGAAAGGGAAGCAGTGACGATCGTGTGCCTGGCACACTGGCTGCCAGCCTGCAAAGAGACATTGCAGGAATGAACTCAGAGGCTTGCTTCAGCATTCAGTTAGACCCCATAGCCTGGAGTTGAACTGGACCCCCTTTTAACATAACTGTCCTCAGGGTAATGGGGAACGAACAAGACAAGACTTGAGACCCCACCGGGTGGGGTCACTTCGTTTTTTTGGTACCTCTGATTCCTGCTCTGTAAGATAGGGATGCTATATTCTGGAAGGCTTATCTCATAGGTAGTACTAGAGTCCTAGGGAGCAGAAATACTTCTAGGCATGTTCAAATGCAAAAACCCAGTTCTGTGCTGTGGCCCCTTAGTAGATAGAGTGAATAAACAAGTGGCAATATACCCTGGAATCTTATTCTGTCATAGAAAAAGAGTGAAGCCCTGGTGTCTCCACTCATGGTTAGAGATATAATTCAGAGCCCATTCTTTTGAACAAAACTCATGCTACTGATTAGGTTAAAAAGAATTGAAGGGCTGGGTGGTGATAGCACAGGCCTTTAATCCCAGCACTTAGGAGGCAGAGGCAGATGGATCTCTGTAAATGGTCTACAAGGCAAGTTCCAAGACAGCCAGGGCCGTTACACAGAGAAACTTGTCTCAAAGCAAACAAGCAAACAAATAAAAAGTAAAGTGCTTCCCATGTGAGCATTAAGGCCCTGAGTGCCCAATCCTCTCCCTACACTTAAAAAGTTAAGCATAGTTGCTGGGCAGTAGAAGTGCACGCCTTTAATCCCAGCACTCGGGAGGCAGAGGCAGAGGCAGGCAGATCTGTGAGTTCTAGGCAAGCCTGGAACTATAGAGTGAATTCCAGGACAGCCAGAGGTACACAGAGAAACCCTGTCTTAAAAAAACAAAACAAAAAAAGATGGAGAATTATTGAGGAAGATACCCAACATACTCTGGCTTCCACAAATGCATGCATTAATGGGTGCATACCTGTAAATACATATGCATGTACACATCAATGGCACAGAAAGAAACAAATTGTAAAGAATGATGTCCTGACACATGCTGCAACATGAGTATAAGTGAAAGAAGCCCCCCCCCCAAAAGGTCACATTGTATGGTTCAAGTGCCTGCCATTAAGTTTCACTCTAGGCTAAAATGGCTAATATTATGGCAAGTGAAGTTTGTATCAATAAAAACATTACATGCTGTATCAGACATTTGGTTCCCTGTTTTATTATGTAATTGGAGCCACAGTCTATTTGCTGACATGAAATAATCTCATTACCATGTTTCTAGCACAGATCTGCTGCTTTTCTTCAATTTTGAGGGTACACTGAGTGTAATACATAGAAAATGCCATATAAAGGCCAGTGAGATGGCTCAGTGAGTAAGGGTGCTTGCAGCCAAGCCTGACAACCTGAGTTCAATTCCCAGGGCCCAAATGATGGAAGGAGAGAAGGTGATGGGGTGTCTTCTGTACATATGTTTTTCTTATTGGTTAATGAATAAAGCACTGTTTAGCTAGTGGCCAGGCAGGAAGGATAGGCAGAGCTACTAGAGGAGGATTCTGGGAAGTATAGGCAGAGATGAGTCTCTATGTGATCCCAGGAAGAGGGGACAAGTCAGGCGTCCTCTGATAAGATAAGATGACGTAAAAACACTTAGATTAATAGAAATGGGTTAATAATTAAGACAGAGCTAGCCAATAAGAAGCCCTAGTGACTGCCAACAGTATTATAAATGTGTTCATTTGGGGCTGACGAGGCTGTGGGACCAGCCTGGTGGGAAAGAGTGCTCATTACAAGAAGAGACTCTGACATCTGCATATGTGCTGTGACATTCTCATATCATGCTGCAGAAATGGCTCAGTGTAAGACTGGCTGCCCTTCCAGAGAATACTGGTTCAACTCCCAGCACCCACATGGAAGTTCAAAACTGTCTCTCACTCTAGTCCCAGGGAATCTGATGCCCTCTTCTGACCTCCAAGGACATCAGGCACGTATGTGCTATACAT